TTCAAAGATTGATCCTAAAACAGTTTCAAAGGTTGCAGATTGTACTTACTTAAAGTACTTAACATTTAATTTGTTTGTTAAAGGGACTGTAAGCGTAATTTCAAGTGACCATCCATGCCAAGATAGCCGTGAAACCCTTTACTGATCAATAATGTAGAATATACTGTTTTTTTTTCTACGTTTAAAAATGTTTATACATATAGGTCTGATAATTCCCAACTATTTTCCTGCAGTAGAAATGCGCAAGTCACTTTTGTAAAGAAACCGCTGCACAATTGAAAATAATTAGTTTTCAAAATTATACACTTTTATATTTGATCAGACAAAGGTTTTAAGAGTACAATTGTGAATCGGGTATTGTCATATTTAAATTGAAAATAATTTGACATTAAATTCGCAGTCCCTTATAAAAGTGGTTTGTTCTAGTCTATTCATATCTTTCAAAATTATATCATTCAAAACACTTCTCTGAATCATTTCTATTTTTAACACTATGATTTCACACCGTATTTATCGTTCAGAAGATTAAAAATGTGAAAAATGATTATAACGTTTACGGAAAATAAGAGCTTCATTAGTATTTGTAATCTCCTAAAAAGACATCAAATATTTACCCAGACTTTAGCGCGGCGCCTCACTCTTCTCTTCAAAATAAACACGTGCAGTGGGATAGACATTAAGTAACCATTAGGATATCATATCTAGCACGGTTTTATCCCCCCATCCTGTTTTATCCCCCCCATCTCGTTTTATCCCCACCCCCATCTCGTTTTTCCTTTCTTTTAGAAACATGCAAATGATAATAGTATAATAATCCTAATTTTAAAAGTGGAATATAACAACTTCCCCCAAAAAAAACCTTCAAAAGAAAGAATCACGATTGCCATGATTTGCAGTATAAAGAACATACAGTACAGTTAAACAGTTAAATGTATGTATGAATGGGCAACATTTAAAAAAATTAATCAAAAACGATTGATTTGTTTCATTTTGAATTTTTTAAACTAAAAAAAAGAATTGATGAAACAAACTGAGTGTTAAGTTTAAGCTTTTGAAAATGACAAAACAATAGTGAGGTATAGTGAAGTTTATGAATCTTGTGGCCGAATTTGAAGAATTTGAGCGGCGGTTTAAATTTAAACCGCGGCTTAAAAATTGTTGGTTCCACTTAAAATTGTATCAAATGTTTCAAGATTTAAGCCGGCGCTTAATTTAAACCGGGTTTTGGCAGATTTAAACCGCTGCTCAAATTCTTTAAATTCCATCTTTGTTTTAGATATGTTAGCATATGTACCTTTAAGAAACTAGTCATTTTTCTTTCGAAAACGGAAAACGATCCTTTCCACAACAATTGTTTTGTTTAATTTATTTCTCAACATTAATACAAAGACCAAAGAAGTTTTCAAAAATGTGAAAACTGTCTATTCACAGGTATATCTATATATATATAATATATATACATTTTCAAACAAATAAATGAAGCAAAAAAACAATTATTTCAAGAAAAACTATGTTTTAATTGTGTTATAGTTCTTTCTCAACAGTTTTTAAATATTGATTTGCTAGAATTTTGAATAATATAGCTCTCAAATGTATATACCATTAAGTTCACTCACATCTATCAAATAGTTTAAACTCTGATAACTGCAACGTCTAAATTTTCCACAAACAATTTAAAAGACGTACTTAATACTCGTTCGTCATTTCTCAAGCTTATTGACCTTTCAACTTGTCTTCTGTAAATCTGTTCTTATTTTCGTTTTCTCTCTAGGCCGGTCAAGTTGGCCAATGGGATAAATTTTTCAATAAATATTTAAAAATTGAGTTATTTTACCTTTTGAATGCAAATTATTGCAACTTTGACTTACGCATGGTAGAAACCCAGCTAAAAAGGGTAGACAGTACACTGTTTTTCTTTTAAAACAGGTATGAAAATAAGAAAGATATCATGTCATGTAAATTACCTGCCTATTGGCGGGAAATAGCATTTGCGTATCAATGCGAAATTAAATCGGAAATTCGTGGAATTTTTACTCGAAACGTAAGAAAATATTTGCGCAATTATTGCATGATCGAATGGAAACCGTAACGTTTATTAATAAATTGGATCTTTGTATAATAATGATTAAAATCAGAGAATTGATGAAGAAAAGCGTAAATCATATTTCTTTGAAGAAAAGATAAGGCTATTCTATGCAAACAATGATGCCACCAAAGAATATTTATTTGATAATTCTGTCAATCAGTCTCAGTTTAACTAAGATTACTGTTCAGTAAACACAGCTTGCACAGTAACAATAACGTCCGGAGAAACCAAACGCTTCTCTTGCAATAATGAAATTCACACAAAGATATGCCATATCTTTACTGCTGGCAACCTGTTTCACAACTTCTGTGGCAGATTCAAATATTGTTCAACATGAAAATCAAATGACTCGATTAACCTGCAAAGCCCCCTCTGATTGGGTCTCCTGCACCTTTAAGCATGAAGAGACAGAGAAACAATGTGGTGCTAGAAAATCTGGCGGGAAAGTTGACTGTAAAAATGGATATTATATTGATGCAGAAGAACATCGGTGTACAATGTGGATCAATAGTGTTTCTCAACAAGACAATGGCACCTGGACATGTTCATTTCTAACAAGCAAGATGCCAAATGGTTGGATACATCATGGATCACAGTTCATGTTGACAGTGATAACAGAGCCTTCTTCCATAGAATGGTATCCTGTCCCTAATAATGATTGGATTCCTTACAACCTCTCTAAACCCCTTGAAATATCTCTAATAGTAAGAAATGTCAGACCTAAACCTAAAGTTACCTGGACCATGAATAACAGCAGTATTGAGGGTTTCTTTGTGGCCAGCAACACTATAATTGAAGAGTTTGAATACTTGACAATTCAAGAAACGTTACTCATGACTGGTCGAGAAAGCTATGATGGTCAAAGTCTTGAGTATCTTGTGGAACTCTACAGTGTAGATGAAGATGGAAACAGTGTAGTTGAGTACAGTAGCGGTGGAAATGTTGATTTGAAATGTTTTGGATGTGATTCAAGGACATCATCAACAACAACAACAACAACAGTGACATCAACAAAACCACCACCGACAACGGCAATAACAACAACAAAAACAACATCAACAACATTAACTTCGACCACAAACACAGCAACAACTTCAACATCAACAACAACAACAACAACAACAACAACAACAACAACAACAACAACATCAACATCAACATCAACAACAACAACAACAACATCATCATCATCATCATCATCATCAACATCAACATCAACATCAACAACAACAACAACAACAACAACAACAACAACAACAACAACAACAACAACAACAACAACAACAACAACAACAACAACAACAACAACAACAACAACAACAACAACAACAACAACAATAACAACAACAACAACCTCAACCACAACAACAATTACAACAACAACTACCTCTGTACCCCCCGCAGAATGCAGTTTTGTGTTAAACGGAGCAGTGGGAAATATAGAATACCCAACAAATGTTCCTTGTAAAAAGGAACCGGAACCCAACTGGCAAATTAAGGTAGCTGATACATCCACCACAATACATTTAAAGATTAGTCAGCTGTCAGGAGATGAAACAGGATGTTTGAACTTCAACGATGTTAATGGAAACAAGCTTGCTGACTCAATGTAAGTTTTTTTTAATTTTTAAACCTCCTTTTTAGAAGTATTTTAAAGTTAATTTAGTTCTAAATCGTTCATTCGAATGAACAAAAAAAAGAATACTGTTTTTCCAAAACATTTTGTCTGAAAAAAACCATCATTTATTTGATAAACGATCGTCATAATAAAACTATCTCTATTACCAATCCTTTTAAGGAAATTTTAAAGATAAAATTATTTTTAGGTGTATTGATGAGGATGAGCTTCCCAAGGATCTGAATTTCCCCGAACTAGTTGATGTCTTTATCCTACTCAGTGCTGAGGGCTCAGTGGTGTTTAAAGCCTCATATTACCAGGATTAAACCAATTAACCATAATATTCAAATGATGTAAGGTACTTTCCCGCAGGCCTTTTCCCAGGGGTATATTCCCATGTTTGTTCTAGCCACAGCACTCGGCCCCACTTGCCTGTTTAGCCGCGGCACTGGCCCCCTAGCCTAACCTAGCCGCAGGGCTAGGCCCCCATTGCATTAGAAGCCTATTCTTTGGCAAGTAGCCACTTGGGAAATTGTCACTTGGAAAGTCGCCCTTGGGAAAATGCTTTTGGGAAAGTACCTAACACTATTCAAATACCTGTGATATTTTCGATAGACTTTTTATTAAAATTTTGTGAATGATATTTGATAAGAAAAATCAAATAATCTTCAAAGAAATATTTTTTTGTATCAGTTTATTATCTTTTATAATATATCTGAATACATGCCTGTTAACTAAGTAAAGTATCAGTGTTCTTGTTTTGTAAATAAAACACAGAAACATCTTGACAGCTGACCCAATGTATGTACTATGTACAGCCTGTACACGAATGTGCAGTATAATTTGTAATCTCCAATTCGTTAAAAAGTGATTTTTTTTCGTTTATATATATTTTACAATAATAAAATCATCGTGAAAACGTTTTGTTTATTTACTATATTGACAAAATTGGTAAAGCTAGCTTTAGTTTTCAAATCCATTTTTTTAAAAGAGACTGTAAGGAACCTCCAACTTGAAAATTGGGGGGAGGGGGGGGGGGGTGAATGGGAAGGAAAAAATGCAAAAATGGAAATGCCTGATTTATAACGGTAACCTTAAAAGTATTGACTGATATCCATGATTTTCGTATTTAAAAAAACTTATCAAGACTCATCTTCCAGAGTTTGATCAGATTAAGGTTTCAAGGGACAGCTGTACATTAGGCATTGCTATATTTTCCTGGAGGGTCAGTTAAACTTACGCTCACAGTACCTTTTCTTAATGATAGATTTAAACATGAAGCAATGAAAACTGCAATGTTGAAACACTATTTTATTCAGGATTGTAGTGCTTACATTAAACAAACTTCAAGCTTTCAGGCAGTTTTCTTATTGTTTATTGATTTTCTCTATTTGAGGGATTAGATATGTGTAAATTTCCTCGGTTTTATATCTAAACGTTTATTATTTCTAGTTCTGGTAAACTCATAGTTAAAGAACAGAATTTACAGAATTTAACCGTTTTTAAAATTGTAGCTCAGATATAGGTTTAAAGGGTACTGTTCTGAATCAGACATGCCGCACTGTAATGATGGGTCACTTGCAATAACGTATATGTTTAAATGATGTTTTCTAATCAACGCAATATATACAAAGTTAAGTAGTGCAGAGTAAACGTTGTCTGAATTTAAGCACTAATGGCTTTCTTACAATGCACTGCGATGAACAGTTATGAAAATTATGCATTAACTATTGAGACTGAGTGAGCTTTAAACATTTTTCCGCGTCCTTTTCCCTGAGTTTGAACCACCCAAAACATGTAATGATGTATGTGTTATGTTATTGCCCCGGATGTTAAATTTTTATGCTGGAAAACTCGTGGTAAAAGCTTTAGTTTTTGGGAAAATCCTAATATAATTCATAAGCATATTTATATGATATTAATTCTGATAAAGAATAGTAAAGTCCACAGTGTCAGTTCTTTTAACTATTCTAATACTCGTTTTCTCCGGAAGTCTCTGTTCCAATCTGAAATTGTTTTAAGTTATAATAGTGAAAGTCACAATATTCATTTTAAAGATGATGATGAAAATAATGATGTTGCTGACAATGACGATGACGATGACGACGATGACGATGACGATGACGATGAGGAGATGACGATGACGATGACAATGACGATGACGATGACGATGACGATGACGAGATGACGATAACGATGACGATGACGATGACGATGATGAATAACCTCCTTGTAATCCTCTTCTAGTGCTGCAATATCCTCCCTGGCCTCCATGAACTCCCCCTCCTCCATCCCCTCCCCGACATACCAGTGCACGAAGGCCCGCTTGGCATACATCAGATCAAACTTGCAGTTCATCCTGATAAAATAAGATTTAATGCATGATGACTTATGAGAGAAACGATTAAATTAGATTAAATTAATATCGTTTATAGGGTTGACGGGGCCAGGGACCATTGTGAATAGGACAGATATAACACTCTAAAAATCAAGGGCTACTAGAAATAAAGTCTTCTGTTCCTATAACAATTTTTCTAAAATATGGTATGAAAATAAACGACACTTTTCAAAGCTTTCAAATATCAATCTTATTTCGAGTTTTAAACAGAATTTAATAGAAGATTTGTATCATCAAAACAAATATATAAATTCTAGCGCATGCTATGTTTGCAAAAGAATTGAAGAAAGAAAAGACGACTTTATAAAGAAAAGACTAAAAAGAGTAAAAGATATAATCAAACATAAAGGATGTCAAAGATCAGCGCGAATTAAAAAGATGCTTAAAAATTTCCATTTTGCGTAAAACCTATATCTTTTTTCACAACCCATAAAGCTTATTTTATATTTTTAATCATTATAAATAAAAATATCATTTTTATTTCTAAAAGTTGTTAGTTCATCGTCGAAAAATACTAACAATCCACCACTAGTATGATGTAAACAATAAATAGGTAATTTTCCTTTTCCTTTCCTTTACTTTTCCTTTTATTTCTTTTTTTATATTTTTTTTAGAATTGGGGGGAAATATTCCCACAACCTCTATATTTGGAGGTTTTCAAATATGTTCTCCTTAAACACTTAATTTTGTATGTTTTTGTTATTTTTCATAAATAAATGATTACTTACTTACTTAATTATACTTAACATTGTGATTAACTGAACAATTACAGTACATCTTGTATTGTTGAATAATGTTAATTGTTTAATATAAAATGTTTATTGATTTAAAAAGTTTAAGAAGTAAACAAGCATAAACCTTATCAACTTTAAAGGAAAACTAAATTTCTGGAAAGTTCCATGAACCAACACAGGGAAAATATGTTTTGTTTACCAGTGTTTTTCGACACATCTAATATCTAATCTATTCCATTGAAAAGAATTGAGTCTTTGCTACAAACTCATATTTTTAACTTTAATAATTTATTTTAATTAAATTTTACAACATTTTAAAATTTTAATATGATATCAGATGGAAACATTTTGAGACTTCTATATTTCCTGTTTTTAATCCTTTCTTCTTGATCTTCCATTCCTTGTCCATCCTTCAATCACACTATGGCTAATTTTGAAAATAAAAATAAATGAATTTTTTGGATGTTTTCTGCAGCTAGCCAAATTGCAGAGGTAGAACTATTTTTTGAAGCCCTGTATCTATATTCTATATATTGAGAGTGGCAAGTCCCCCCCCCTTCCTCCTCCTCTCCCCTCCAGAAGACGGAAATCATGAGTGAACACTTTCCACAAACTCTAATACTCTTAACCTTAAATCTTTGTATCCTTTCAACCTATCAGCTGTGCTAGATTTTTGGCCAAAGTGATATATTTCAAATCGGAATAAAAGCACCTAGCTAACCTAGATTTATCCCTTAAAATGTCTCTAGCCCTAAAGCTGTTCCAATTCTAAAAAATAATGGACAAAAGGAATCAATTTCTTGTCTGATTTGATAACTTCTTTATCTTTCCAATCCGATTTCGTAGACCTTAGATATTTCAAACAATGAATTCTATCAAATCAAATAGAAATATAACAAGATAGCACCATCAATCTGCAAAGATGTGGGGTTGAGAAAATTAGACTTAGTTCCTTTGTGATCATAAGAAGTTAATCAAGCACCTGGCCCAAGCATCAGCTATTGCAGTAGTGTTGGATAACATACAAACAGATCTGGGGGAGGCAGCCTGCAAAAATTGATTTTTAATTTGAAATATTTCTATCTTTATGATTTTCGATTTTATTCATTCAAAATGACGGATTTCTGTATTTTTGTGATTTTAGATTTTGGTATTTTTAGCAATTGTAAATTGCTTAGCATTTACTTCATAAATAAAACTCTCGTAACTTGTATCATTATTATCGTTATTTGAATACCTGAATAGCACCTGGCACTGTTGTCATAGGAGCATCATTAATACCTGGAAAAGAAGCATTCACAAAAATATTTGAATTAATTTTGGATCTAACTTGAATGAAGAATTAATAATGCCTTAGATTCATCTTAAAAAGAATATGTGGAATGATTTAAGTTTTAATGCATTTAATTAAAAACAATGATGTCAAATGTTAATATGATTTCACGTTTAATAATAAGTAGGGTACCTATTTTGAACCCGGTGGGACACCAATCCACAAACTCAATAGTTCTCTTTGTTTTGATAGCAGCAATAGCAGCATTAATATCCTGGAAATGAAATACTAGTGTTAGAGGGACAGACCGACTATGTAAGGTAGTTAAACTGAGTATGCAGTGTTGTGGAAAGCTTCTTTAGGATTCATTTGAGACATATAAAACTTTTGAAAGATCTGTAAATCCTGAGTTTGAGCGCAAATTCGACGTTCAAAACTCCTACTTTGGGGGTGGATACGTTTTCAGAATCGATTTAAAAAAAATTTAATAAAGACGACAACAAATGTAAACAAAACTCTACAGTAAACTAATTAGTTGTTTATGAACCGGTTGAGAAAATAAAAATTAATTTTATGATCGTAAATCAGTAATCTTGTTCAATTATTAGTTTCTATTTTCTCATTATTCTAGTTTCTCATTATTCACAAAGATTTTCTGGAATTATTATTGGAAAGACGACATTTGAAGAATTTGAAGAAATCTGCGAATAAATTCAAAGAAAATAAGAAATTCAATAGAATGATGAAAACGACTTGCATTGATTTATTGACAAATTATTTTTGAGAAATATGTTTCCAACCATCTAATTAGATTACTGTATAATTTTTACTTTATTTTTCGTCGTCGTTATTTAGTAATTTTAAAAAACCGATTCTGAAAACGTATCCACTCACAAAGTGGGAGTTTCGAATTTGCGCTCAAACTCACGAGTTCTTTCCTTTTTCCTTTACAGCAATTGGGGTCCATCTTGTGTTTCTGTCCAAAAAAAATGTTTGTTTTTTTAATCTAAGCACAAACATTTGTGTTGGTCACTCATTCCATTGGAATATAAACTAATCAAGAGAGCCATTGTCCCACATAGATAGCATATTTGCCAGGCATTAAGTGTATTACAATGGTAACGTCGGGCATCATGGCCTGACTTTTTGGTGCCGTTTGAATCAGACTGGAGAATAAAGCAATCTTACCTTTGGGACTACATCTCCCCTGTAGAGTAAACAGCAAGCCATATATTTACCATTCCTGAATTACAAATTTTAGTTACAGTGATAACCAGAAAACTCTGAAGTAAGTCGACTTTTAGACTCAAGTTATGTCTTTAAATGGTCTAATGAACATGAGAGGCCTGAAAATTGTGCAGTGTAAAGAGACCCATTTCACTTAATAAATGATTTAATAACTTACTAGTAACAACATGCACTTCAGTACTGCTTTATTGTCGTCTTCCTTTTCTACAGTTTTCAAGTTATCAAAATATCAAACTTGGCAATAATAGATAATCACACATTTGGAGAAATTGACAGTCAAAGGATTAGTGGATGTTCTCTAATCCATAATCATTAATACTATTTTTCTGGTTAAGATGATTAAACCTTTTTGACAAGTTTAAACCGGTTTAAAACCAGTTCTTTACTACCTGGGATCACATATCACCATCTGATTCCCGGGTTCAAAACAGCTGGCAGTCAAATCTCCTGCTGAATGCCGTTCATGTCCAGTTTTACTGAATATAAACAAATGTATTTGCTCTTGGAAAAGTTTATAATTTCAATATTTTGAATTAGCTCTTTTGATAGAAATGGGTATGCTAACAGTATAATAAGATGCTGTGCACACATTACATTTTTGTTTTTTTACACTCTATATGAGTATGAAAAAGGGATACACTGTTTCAAGAATTCAAACAATTTAGGAACTATAGGAAAAACATTTAAATAATTTTTGTTTATAATTTTTCAAATTGTACCTACTGGAAACTATGGGTGCATAGGTTGCAAGAGGAAAGTGTATCCTACATCCAACACTTTTTTTTATATATTTTCATAAAATTTCTCCCTCTGTGCAGTGCAAAAACAAGAAATACAATTTCAGTCCACATTATGAGGTAGGTTACTATAGTTTGAGTTTAATACAATGAAGACGACTTTTAAGTTTTGATTTCCGATAAGCTTTTTTCAAAAGTCAAGTTTAAATGTAAACTAAGAAAAGCTGTTAATGAATACGTTGAACAGTGTGAAAAAGCAGTCTAGGTTGTCGTCTTCCATAAACAATCAACAAATAACGAGAGGATAGAGTAGAGAATTATACGCAGTAAAATTTCGCATAGATTCACACACATCGTGGAGTCATTATCATCGTGGTATTGGAGAAATACAGCCGCCCACCCTCCTCCCATTCTCTATGTCTATCATTCAGAAGAGGGTTTAACACCCTCTCTTCTCTCTGGGTCCTCAATGGAGCTGCCAACAGGGCCGGTCAACCAAACTGACCGGCCCCGGATGGCCGCTGAAGGTGAAGGTCATAAATGTTGACCGTACCAGCCATGCCGGTCTGCAGGTCATATCAGTAGACCTGGAGACCGGCGCGCTGGGCCGGTCAGAACAGATTGACCAGCAAGCTCTTGAAAGTTGGATACTTTCAGGCGGGCTGACACAGCAGCCACAGCTTGCTGGTCAGTATAGATTACAGGAGGAACTTACAGGTTGCAGAGTAGGATTACCCTTCTTAGTTAGCCAGAAATAGTCACATACAGGCTTATGAGAAGGGAGGACAGAGTACCTGTACCTTTGAAATTCAGGAAGACGACAAAAAGGTAGGGCTTTTTCATTGACTGATTCTCTTTGTTTCCATGTTCATGTTTATCCATGTCCATGCTGTTAAAAGTTTGGTTGAAATAACAAATTGAAATCCCAAGTCGTCTCTTTGTATTGATATATACGACGACGACTGTAGTTTAAACAACAATACTTATCAAAACCGGACAACTAAATGTTAAACGAGCATAAGAGTCCAAACAAAAACTCTTTAGCCTTTAAGGACTTTCTTGTATTGGTAGACCTGTTAAATTTGAGGAACTCAAAGTTTTGATCTGGTAAAAAATGCCTTATATCTTCAAATGTGTTTCTACATTAAACCAGCTGGGGAACCCAACATTGCCCAGGGTCATAGTAAGTAGCAACGTTAATCCGCGCTTTGTCTAAATTAACGATTTTAGCTATTTTTTCAAAATAAGCTCACTTACTTAAACATATTGGATATATAGGACACATTCAAACCTAGACACATTGGATATATAGGACACATTCAAACCAAGACACATTGGATATATAGGACACATTCAAACCTAGACACATTGGATATATAGGACACATTCAAACCTAGACACATTGGATATATAGGACACATTCAAACCTAGACACATTGGATACATAGAACACATTCAAACCGAGACTCGTTGGATACATAGGATACATTTTAACCTAGACAGTAGACATATTGGATGTATAGGACACATTCAAACCTAGACACATTGGATATATAGGACATATTAAAACCTAGACTCATTGGATATATATGGGACACATTCAAACCTAGACTCATTGGATATATAGGACACATTAAAACCTAGACTCATTGGATATATAGGACACATTGAAACCTACACTCATTGGATATATAGGACACATTGAAACCTAGACTCATTGGATATATAGGACACATTAAAACCTAGACTCATTGGATATATAGGATACATTAAAACCTAGACTCATTGGATATATAGGACACATTAAAACCTAGACTCATTGTATATATAGGACACATTGAAACCTAGAATCATTGGATATATATGGGACACATTCAAACCTAGAATCATTGGATATATATGGGACACATTCAAACCTAGACACATTGGATATATAGGACACATTCAAACCTAGACACATTGGATATAGAGGACACATTAAAACCTAGACTCATTGGATATAGAGGACACATTAAAACCTAGACTCATTGGATATATATGGGACACATTAAAACCTAGACTCATTGGATATATAGGACACATTAAAACCGAGACTCATTGGATATATAGGACACATTAAAACCTAGACTCATTGGATATATATGTGACACATTAAAACCTAGACTCATTGAATATATAGGACACATTAAAAAGACACATTGGATATATAGGACACATTCAATCCTAGACACATTGGATATAGAGGACACATTCAAACCTAGACACATTGGATATAGAGGACACATTAAAACCTAGACTCATTGGATATATAGGACACATTCAAACCTACACTCATTAGATATATATGGGACACATTGAAACCTAGACTCATTGGATATATAGGACACATTAAAACCTAGACTCATTGGATATATAGGACACATTCATTGGATATATAGGACACATTCAAACCTAGACTCATTGGATATATATGGGACTCATTAAAACCTAGACTCATTGGATATATAGGACACATTAAAACCTAGACTCATTGGATATATATGTGACTCATTAAAACCTAGACTCATTGAATATATAGGACACATTAAAACCTAGACTCATTGGATATATAGGACACATTGAAACCTACACTCATTGGATATATAGGACACATTGAAACCTAGACTCATTGGATATCCCCAATTAATTTGAGGCAAATTTAAAAAGTATTGAATCCTTGGGAAGGGAACAAGGTTTGTTTGAAACTCATTTAAGTCCACATTAAGAGCACCATCAAACCTTAAAGAGGCTGTTACAGAACTTACAACCTGGAATAGTTAAAACAAATCCACTCTAGGAAATGTCAAATGTCCATCAAACAAAAATTGTTTGAAGCACCGGAGCCGAATTTAACTTAGTATCTTGATTCTTCACATGTTTATGAATAATAAATTTCATCAAATATAATTTTAAGAATGATGCTACAAAGTCAAATTTGGCTCTGGTGGTCCAACAAATTTTGTTAAATGAAAACTGAACATTTCTTAGTGCGCGTGTAGTTAGACTTATTCATATTTTTGAACGTAGCGTATAATAATTAGAATTATTTACTCAAAATTTCATGATTCCCAAAACAAAATATAAATCACTAATCTAGGGCCCAAAAAACACAAATTCTATCTATTTTCTAGTAAATTTTTCATTAATCTTGAAAACAGAGAAGAAATCTTAAGAAAATTAATTAAAAACTTCAAGGTTTTTAGCAAACACTCTGGTTTGCTAATCCCAATATCTTTACAACCCGATTTCTTAGACCTTTGATACTTCAAATGAATTCTTTTAAATTAAGTAGTGTAAGTTTGAAATATCAAAGGTGTTCACCATCAGGTTGTGAAGATTTAGGAAGCAGCAAAGTTAAGTTTTTGGCAAAAGCTCAATTCCTTTTTTACTAAAATGATAACCTGTGCTATTAACTGGTTCAGTTCCTATTGAAATTATTATTTATATAAAACCTAATAACAGAGAAGCAATTAGAATTTTAGTATTTTTTTCCTTCATCTTACAGTTACAGATGAACAAATGTTTAAATTTGTTAGAATAATAATGGCCTTGTAGCTAGACATGGGAACATCCAATTTGGTTCTAATCAACTTAATTTAATTATTAATACTCCATAAATCTCATTTATCCTTTAAATCTTTAATTTCTAATGAGTATCAAGTAAAAAATGGAAATCAATTCTGGGCATTAAACTGCTTGAAGTTTTACAAAGGCAATGAGTCTTTGTCACAACCTCTAATTCTCTTGGTTGTGTGGCAAAGACTCAATTCCTTCCAAAATTGTTTAGTATAAACATTTGCTTTCCTCACAATGCCGAATAGATTTATGCAAAAACACACAAACCTTTCCATATGTTCTCATAAAATAAGAATTGTGCATAGTTAAAAGGCAAGTAAAAGCAAACGTCAACAGAATAATTGTGATGATATCTCTTTACCAAATAGTTGCCCCCCCCTCCCCCGGAAACTGAGGAATATTGAATAACTTTTATATAAGGATCAGCAAGTCGCGTCGAGAAAACGTGAACATTGGGGGGAAGGGGGGGGGAGGGGAAGGAAAAGGAGGAAATAATAAAGGAATGATGATGGATGCAAAGGATTCTGTTTATTTTGTGGATCCAGGTCCAGGTCATGAATATTTCTTTAGGATTTACTGATTTCTTTTAACAAACGAAAAATTTTCAAACTTTTTTCCTTTTTGTTTATTTTAATAAATGCAAACGTCAACAGAATAATTTTTGTAATGCCTTTTAAACTTTTAAACCTTAACTCTTGAAAAAACGTTATATTTCTTGACTACTTGAGACAGAGGAATGTTTCTTAGAAGTCTCTGATTATTTGGGGTAAAAATATCTTTGCCAATCATTACATGCATTACATTAAATTGAATTGATTCCTGCAGATTTCAAAGATTGCTTGATTGTCCAGGAGGAAAGTAACTGCTTGTTGATCCATTGTTGCATGAGAGGACAGAATAGTATTGTATGGTTCAACAATAGCAGTAGACACCTATTCAGACAAATATGTTAAAAGTTAAGTCAAGGAAATTATAAAATCCACTGGTTTAGAGATTTTTTTATGCTTTGTGAAACCAGAAAACTGTGGAATATGAAAGCGACATCAAAGCAATGATTAAGTGTGTTTAATGTTTTTACAAAGCAAATACTTTTACTAGTAACTTATTAATTCACTTATTAAGTGTCTGCACCATTGGTTTGTTTCATGTTCATTTAACTATTAAATGTCATATGACTATCTATTTGTCGTCTTCCTATTCCAGAGTGTTCTGGTTATCACTGTATCTCCCCAAAATTATTACTCAGGTGGAATTGTAAAGCTTACTGTGTTGAATCGGATGATCACTAGAGACAATTCAAGATAGAAGATATTTCAAACTATGAATTATGTTCAACCAAATAATCTAAGTTGTCACCATCAGGATTCAGGAAGCAAACATGATCTCTAAAGTTTATGGGTTTCCTAAGGTTAAGACTTGGGGCACTATTCACTATAGGGCTAGCACAATGACAAATTTGAAAATTCGAAATTCGAATAATTGAACTGCAGCCACTTGGGGGCTGGGGCAACACGTTTAGGAATTATATGGGAATCAACTTTAAGCTGGATATATTTTTAATTGTTTATATTCTGTAAACCTGAGGTGCTGGATATATAGCAAAATCTAACATATTCTTCTTCTGGTATTCCATTGTAAGAGTCTGCATTAGCAATGAACAAAATCCAGACCCAGTCCCACCACCGAAACTTTAAACATTAGATGTGTTTTTTGCCAATATCTGAATTAAGGTTTCCCTGCGCAAGAACGTTTTATTCAGTTTTTATGAAAGTTATCTAATAACAAAAAACCTTTGAAAAAATCTACATCTAAGGCTAAATGAAATCCCAAAATAATTTCAGTGATGCTATACTTAATCTTTATTGAGGTTAAAAATATGCCTACTTTATAAAAAAAAATCTGTTATAAAGACAACTTGTAAAATAAACATGCAAAAGCAAAGGTGAAATTGAAAGATTTTGTAAGTATCTGAAAATGTAAGATATAAAAAGGTTTGAATTACTTATATGTCCTGGGACCAACTTTTATGAAGTTTAGCTAAGTCAACCTGCTACTGCACCAGTTCAAATCTTGAATCACTGATTTATACTTATATATATGAGCATTTGACTCGGTTATTCAGAATTTGAACCGGCGGTAGGTAATTCAGCGACCTCTCCAATTCATTATATTCCATTTCTGACTGTAAAAAAAACTTTTCTTATCTGAATTTTATGTTTGTAAAAAAAACCTGTGAAAAAGGAAGAACCCCTGAAATCCAGAGCACGACTCTGTTTGTCGTCTTTACCCAAATAACAAAATAAAGACATAATAAAGCTTAAAGGGAATAAATACTTAATTTCAAGTGACCCTCCATGCAAAAATGGCAATGCCCGATTTACAATAGTACCTTAGAAACCTTTATCTGATCAAAAATGTGGAAGATATTGTCGTCAGTTTTCTGACTCGAAAAGGGTATAATTCTGCGAGTCTCTCCAATGCTTCTGATAAGAAAAAACTGCGCAAGTCACTTTTGCAAAGAATCCACAAATGAAAATAAACAGTTTAAAGAAACAAAAACTTGGATATCTAATTAATACGATCAGACGAATCTTTCAAGGGTACTGCTGTAAATAGAGCATTGGCATTGAATGAAGGGTCACTTGAAATTACGCTTACAGTCCCTTTAAAAGAATTATTGTTTTCAACTAAATGCTTAATCTTGAGAAAGAGCTGAAAACTTTGAACCAACGGTTTTCATATCAAAATTTGTTAATGCTTATTTTAAGATGAAATTATGTAGATATGTTCAGCGAAAAAAAAGTTTAAAAATTTGTCTGTATTTATTTCCTAATTTTATCCATCACTCTATCAATCATCTCTTTCCCTACAGTATAGTGACCACGAGCAAAATTGTTTGCGGCATCCTCCTTTCCACTAATACCATACAGTGAGAACCAGAAAACAATGGCATAGGAAGACGACATTAAAGCAATAAATAATTGTATATTTGATGTTGTTACTAAGTAAATTGCACAATTGCTATGTTTCATATTCATTGACTATTTAAAGTCATAATTTAAGTCTTAAAGTCGTCTTCCACTTTAAAAGTTTTATGGTTATCATTGTATTAATTCAATTTTTTATAATTCTGGACGTTTATTCCTTATGGAAAACTTGTCTCGTAACCTTTTTAGCAGGTCGCATCCGTATCTTCAGGGGGTTAAACTAATAATTTTATCAATTGCTTAAGAAAAGTTCCACGATCAGTTTCCAAAAGTTTTTAATAGTTTATCATTCTTCACAACTTCAAGAACGGCTAAAAAACTTGTAAACTTACGGAACCAAACTGATTCCGGAAAAAATTGGAAACCCCTAGACAGTATATTGAAATATGTTAACCCTAGACAGTATATTGAAATATGTTAACCTTAGACAGTATATTGAAATATTTTAACCCTAGACAGTATATTGAAATATGTTAACCTTAGACAGTATATTGAAATATGTTAACCCTAGACAGTATATTGAAATATGTTAACCTTAGACAGTATATTGAAATATGTTAACCCTAGACAATATATTGAAATATGTTAACCCTAGACAGTATATTGAAATATGTTAACCCTAGACAGTATATTGAAATATGTTAACCCTAGACAGTATATTGAAATATGTTAACCATAGACAGTATATTAAAAAATGTTAACCCTAGACAATATATTGAAATATGTTAACCCTAGACAGTATATTGAAATATGTTAACCCTAGGCAGTATATTGAAATATGTTAACCCTAGACAGTAAATTGAAATATGTTAACCCTAGACAGTATATTGAAATATGTTAACCATAGACAATATATTGAAATATGTTAACCCTAGACAGTATATTGAAATTTGTTAACCCTAGACATTATATTGAAATATGTTAACCCTAGACAGTATATTGAAATATGTTAACCCTAGACAGTATATTTAAATATGTTAACCCTAGACAGTATATTGAAATATGTTAACCCTAGACAGTATATTGAAATATGTTAACCCTAGACATTATATTGAAATATGTTAAACCTAGACATTATATTGAAATATGTTAACCCTAGACAGTATATTGAAATATGATAACCCTAGACAGTATATTGAAATATGTTAACCCTAGACAGTATATTGAAATATGTTAACCATAGACAGTATATTGAAATATGTTATAAAACCTAATCATCATTTCAGGATGAAAGAGAGATCGGTAAGTTCCACTTCGAATCTGAAATAATTAATCATTCATTGATTTTATATTAAAGGGACTGTAAGCGTAATTACCCTGTATGTAAAGATGACAATGCCAGATTTACAACGCGGCACCCTTAAATCATGTGGTTTCCATAATTATGCTTACAATCCCTTTAATATAGAAATCAACCTATTTCTATAAAGCATTGATATTTACATAATAAAACTCCCAAGCTATTTTATTAAAATATTTTCTTCTTTAAAATAAGAAAAAAACTGGTTGCTTAAATATTGAATGGAAGAAACAAAAATATTAGAAAGAAATGGTCTGCGTGGACTGGCATGTTTATGAATAATAAATTTCATCAAA